CCCTGTACTGTACCCAGGCTACCGGGACTCCGGCAATGCCACACCGATCAGTGGACTGATTTAGTAATCACCACCACCCTCGATCCTAGCACTGCACCATGAATCGATCACATACTCTAGATCCGTCACTTCTGAAAAAGCCCTGCCTGTGGCCACATGAGGCTTTGGGGGGACATCTGGACACAAGCCATAATGGCCATCTTCCTATGTGTGGTCTGTGTCCCCTTACACGGATCCTGGTCACTGGATTTAGGGTACCCCTTCCTCAGTGTGACCTCATCTTAACTAATTATCTCGAAGGCCCTATTTCTGTTGCACAGAAAGGCATGAACCTCTAATCCCAGCACTCTGGGAGGTTGAGGCAGAACCATCTTGAGCTCGAGTCCCTCCTAGACAGCCTAGTGACTCACTGTCACTAGATGATTGCAAAGGCCCTATGTGCCATCCCCAGTGCCACAAAAGGAAAAGACACTGATTCCAAACAGGGACCCTCATTGAAGTTCTGGGTGGGTCTGAACCTGGGTGACACCACTCAAACTCCCACAACCTCAGGGGGCACCTGGGGCACAGGGAGGAGCCCTCATGTCCAAGGGAGAAGGCTGCCCTGGCCACAGGTGAGATGCAGGGACATGAGTGGGGCAGGGTGGCCTTGCCGTGGTAAGGCCCCGCTCCCTCAGGTACAGCACACAAGCCAGAGCTGCCAAGCCCACGGGACAGAGAGATGTCAAAAAGGCAAGATACTGTGCATGGTCACGTGGCAGGGTCAGGGCCAGCCTACCCTCTTGCACAAAGCAGAGTGGAGGCGAGGGACAGGGCAGGTATGGAGGGGCCTCTGCACCATGACATGCAAGGTGGCATTTGGGGCACCGACAAAGTCAGGGCTGGCTCGGCCCGCTCCAGGAACTCAGGCCCATGCAAAAGCTGGATCACCAGTGTGCCCAGTTCCAGATCACAAGGCCAGGAAAAGGATCTGCCCCTGGCAGGGACTGAGTTCCACAAGAGCCCCGAGCACGGGCTCTGATTAACCGAAGCCCCAAAGGGCACAGACAGGGGATGGCAGCAGCCCGGGATGAGAGGGTGGCACCAAGGGAGGCCCCACTAGGTGGCAGTGCACTCGGAAGAGCAAGCTCTGTGCCCCATGTCGCACAAGGTGTGCACACAGGTGGGTGAATGTGTTATCACACAGGTAAGTGAATGGTACATGTGCGAGCCACTTGTGCTGCAGGTATACACGTGTGTGTGAACCCACGAGCCTTCTGTGCAGCCACGGAGGTCTGGGGAGGGCATGGGGAGAGCAGAGGTCCCGCAGCCCCATGAGAGAGAGGCATGGCCTGGCTTCCCACGGAACACACTGTGGGGGCTGCGACCTCACACTCACATCATCCATCCCCAGTGTCACAAGCTGGCCAGCAGGGGCCACCTGCTCTGAGACCAGGCTCCATCGAGGACTCCTCCAAGGAGCCCCTCAGCCTGCCCTGTGTCCTCAGGTCCCACAAGGGGCTGATTGTCAGAGGCAGAGCCTCAACAGCCTGGGCTGTAGCCAAGCCCCATGCCCATGGGCTGTGTGTGTGGACTGGGCAGAAGCTTCTGCTCTCCATAGCACGAGGGGCCGCATCTGTAAGCCGGGAACTGAGGCACTCCTGCCCCGATCCCCCTGAGTACAGGTGTCCAAGAGTGCATGGATCCCTAGTTCACATGGTCACTGAGGGCCCCAGGTGTGCCCCACCTGCACACTGAAGGAGGGAGCCACCATCCTGGGGTCACAAAGTGCTCACCCAGAACCCCTGCTTGAGGTGAGGACTTGGGCAGGGGACAGGATGTGAGCCAGAGGCTGGACCTGCAGTGGAGCTGCCACCAACTCCAAGTACCACGGCCTGGCCCAGAGTGACACCTATCCTGGGAACAAGGGGGCCACACACCACTAACCCCTCCAGCACGGACACCACGGCAATTTCCACCTCCCAGGTAAGGACACAGAAGTGCAAGGGAGACAATTAGGAGGGCACTAGGGAGCAAGGGAGGGCAGGAGCCAGCAGCACTCAGCCCCTCGAAGTGCAGGGCAGCCTGGTACCCCACACCCACTGCCGTGCCCAGGACAGCTTCAGAACGCCCACTGCTCACAATGCAGCTGGAGGAAGGAATGCAGCCCTGCTCAGGGCACCGAAAAGAGGGAGCCCCACTCCCTCCAGTCCAGCCTAGCCCCCCAGCCCCCAGGAAGCCACCTATCACCCTGCATTTCCCAGCTCCTACATTCCCTGCCCGCTTAGTTTCCCCAGCGGAAGTTGCACTGGTACAGAGCCGAACTCAGAGAAGGTAACTGGCCCGCTGCAGAGAGGCCACTGGGCCACAACTGCCAAGAATCCCACCATAGCCACCCCTGTCCTGCGTGCCAGGGAAGCAGCGGCACAGCCAGGCCTCAGAGGAGGCAGCACTCCTGGGGCTCACCTGAGCGGTCTGTGCTGCCCAGAAGTGATGTCCAGGGCTGGCCCCCAATACCCCAGAATGGCTGCTGGTGGTAGCAGGCAGCCCCATCTCTTGGACCTGTCCTCCACCTGTGTGATAATGACGGCCTTGCCCCCTAGAAGTCCATCAAGCCCTGTGCCAGAAGAACACTGTGTGGGCAGCGCATGGCCTGGTGGTCAGGACCCTGTGCCTATGCCAGGCCTCCTGAGCAACTCTATAGGCAAATGGGCACCTCCACAGAGGTGAGGGCCTCCCTCCCAGGTCAGCAGCCCCAGTAGGACCCCCCATGGGTGCAAGAGGGAGGCATCGCCTTCCATCTGGGGTGGAAAGGCCAGCAGGCCACCTTGCAGAGCGGAGCCATTGTACCCATGCTGTGCCCCAGAAGGCCACAAACCTCCTCACCCCCCACTTCCACACACCTCCCATCTCCAACAGTTCCACACCTCTGCATGCCTCCACCTCAACACCCCCGACCTCCACTGACCCCACACCTCTCACCCCCCACCCAAGCCACCCTGCTCTACTGCCTCCATACCCGCCCTCATGCACACACAGCCACGCTTGTGCACACTTCTCACCTCCTCAGCTCCACTCACCCCACACTACCACACACCTCTGTGCCTCCAAAACATTGGGCCTGGAACACATCAGGTACTCTCCAAGCATCACATCCCTACCCAGGCCTTGCTGCAGCCACCCTCCCATCTTACAGATGGGAAAACAGAGGCCTAGAGAGGCACAGACAGACAGAGGAACTTCATGGGGTTGGCTAGCTCTGCACACTGGGCCAAGTTAGCGGGGGAAGGGAGGGAACCTCAATTCACCTTCTCCCTAATGTACACGGGGACTGTACAAAGCCCTGGAGGCCCCGGTTTGTGACCCCAGGAGGGCCCTCTGCCCTCTCCACTGCCACCTTTCTGGCTGAGGGACACAGCACACACCTGACACACAGCCCTGGCCGGAGGCCTCCTCCTGCCTTCACACGTCTTTCCTCTCCTCGGTCATTAGCCAGACACGTTATAATTACACTGATCACAGCTGTCAGCACACGTGTGCCAGAGCCGCAAAGAGCTGCAGCTCCTCTTGGCGGGGGAAGGGCCCCTCCTGCCCTGGACAGTCACACCTGCACTCGAGGGCAGCAGAAAGCGGAGGCCGGGGCCAGGCAGAGGAATCCTCCCTCCCAGAGTCAGTCTGACCAGCACCCACTTCCCACCCCACCAACAGTTCCAGGCCACCCACCCCAAGTCTGGACTCGCCTCCCAGGAGCAAGGACCGAGCGCACTGACTAGTGCCTGGGGGCCCAGACCAGACCTCCCGTTGCAGGGGTGCCTGGCCCCACTGCTGCCCTGGCCCTTCCCTGCTCTCAGCCTGGACAGTTACTGCCACTGCCACTGAGTCCTTGGCCTTCCACTGAGAATGGCACTGTTATCCCTGAGCCCCTCAAATCACTCCAGGAAATCATTTTCTCAGCAAGTGACACCCTCAGCTGTAGGATGAACAGACAGAACTCCTGCCAGTTGCTCTTCCCCAGGAACAGATGCCTTCAGACCTGGCCCTGCCCAGGGCACGTCACCATCCACGCTGGCCCCACTCCAGGGAGGGAGACCCAGGAGAGCTGTCACGTGTGCACCAGGCTTTGTTTAGGCTGCACTGGCCCTCTGCCAGAGCCCCAGGGACATGTGGGTGGGACCCTGGGCCCCTAGGTAAGGGTTTCATCCCCCACTCAGGCCAAGCAGGTGTGAGCGCTGGAGAGGGCAGAGGGAAGGAAGCCCACCCTCTGGCAGCACCTAGGGCCTCCAGCTGACCCAGCCCCTCCGCTGCCAGTCTGCCAACACGACCATGCGCCCACTGGTAAACATGCCACCACCAGGCCCACTGCCGGGCGCCGTAAAAGGCCTGGCCTGGGTCCTATGCAGCTGGCTTGACAGTGCCCCACTGGGCTTACCTACCATCCGGGGTCCTAGCACCTGAGGCCCATCCGGAGGCCCCTACAAGGTGGGCACTGTCCTGGGGACCAGCTCTGACTCCCACTTCCCCCCACAGGCTGCTGGGGGTCTGGGCAGGGATCCCTGGAAACAGCCCCAGGCCTGAAAAAGAGCCTCCCACACAAGGCTGTGGACAGGCAGGAGGCCACAGCAGGCCTGGGCCCCAGCCGCAGACGCCCCTACCCTTTCCCAAGGGCCGGAGTCCTGGCAACCTCCTCAGCCGCGCACTGGGGTCCAACACAGGCCCTCGCAGACCGTGGCACCTGCGCCAGGAGGCATCCCGAAGACCCAGGGGCCCCGGACTGCTGCCTGCGGGCAGCTGGAGGCCCCAGATGCACCTGGTCGGGCCCCAACACCTGCCCACCTCTGAAGAGCTTAGGGGTCCTGCCGTGCTGTCGTCCTTTGCGCGGGCTCAGGCTCGGGGTGGAGGAAGGGTTAATTCCCATGCAAAACGGTACCCCCAGCGCTGGGCGGCAGCAGCTGGTCCGCAGTGGGGGACGGGCGGGGGTCAGCTGCAGCGAGGAGCCGGCCGGGGCTCCCGCGCGGACTCACCAGGGTCGAAGTGCGAGCTGAAGGCAAAGCTTGGGTTGAAGAAGGAGGACGACATGGCCAGGGCCAGCAGCGCGCCAAGCATCCCGGGCAGGCGCTGCCTCAGAGCGCCCACGGCCCGGGCCCGCGCCGCGGCATCGCCCAGCGGCCGCCGCAGGTGCGGAGCTCGCGGCCCCCGCGCCCAGCGCCCCCAGCCACCGCCGCAGAGCGGGCACCAGCGGGGGCGGCGACAGACGAGGCGCCTCCGCCCGCCGCCGTGGCGCCGCGGGGCTCTGGCTGGTGCAGTCCGAAAACACGCGGGAGCGCGCGGGGCGGGGGGCGGGGGGGTGACGGAGCCCCAAGGCACGGAGGCTGGGGGGATGGGGGCGCGGAGGCGGGGACCGGCCTGGGGGAGCTCGGGGAGGGGTACTGAGGGGGGAGACGGGGACGTGGAGATGAAGCGGGGTGCGGAGGCCAAGGACACAGAGGCTTGTAGGGGGGTCGTAGAAAAGCTAGGGATGGGGGCACGAACGCAGGGGAACACGGAGTCAGGGGACACCAAAGCCAGAGGACGCGGAGGCCCAGAGGGCGCACGATGTAGACTGGTGTAAGGGTCACGGAAGCCCACGGGAAGCGGAGTCGCGGGGTGGGGGGCTGCACAAGCCTAGGGGGCTCGGCAGCGCTGGCGTGGCTTGTAGGCGTCGCAGATGGCCAGGGTCTGGCCCTCTGCGTGCCCACTGGGCGGCGCTTGTGCTGTGGGGCGGGAGGGGGGTTATTTTTGCACAAGCTGCCTGTACCTGTGCCGCGCTGCGACACCAGCGGCAGCCCTGGAGACGTGCTACGCCACCCCCACCCGCAACGAACTTCACTGGAGCACAGACTGCCATACCCCGCAGTGTGTACCCCTCAGTCCCTCTGTGAACTCCTCATCCTTCCACCCCACCCGCAGCGCCATCTTGCAGGGCCACCCTGGAGGTCTTAAAGTACTTGGAAACTTGTCAAGCTGGGGAGGGGGCACTCATTCCAGGTCCATTTGCAAAACCCCTTGGGGAGCCCAGCTGAAAGGCAGGGAGCAGGGGGGTGTCTGTCCCACAGGGCCCTAAGGGCTTAGAGAAAAGAATTCCAGGGACAAGGACAGAGTGCTCTGGGTCGGCAGCCTGGGGGAGGGGGTGCTATCTTGTGCTCCCCACACACAGGCAAAGCAAGAGACCCCACCTTGCCCTCTGGAACCTTAGGAACCCCCTGCTATGGGCAGCCAAGCCTCATCCACCCTAAGCCTGTGTCAGGCCAGGTGTCCAGAACATCCTTCCTGGCCCTGCTGGCATGGTCACCTCTCTCAGCGGCTTTGCCCCTGTGAACAAGGGGCCATGCTGGTGAAACGTCATGGAGAATTTGCCCCCAGAGGGAGTCACAGGTCATCATCCACTGTGTCTATTTTCTCTAGGGGCCCTGGAGGGTCACAGGTCCCTGGGGAACAAGAATGGATCCTGCCCTGAGACAGGCTTCCAAGATGGCCCCTGAGGGCTGTGGCCCAGGAATGTGAGGGACCAGGGCTAGGTCCCCAGGGTCAGCACTGCAGCCCCTGGCCTGCCCACCTAGAGAATGGCCAGGGCACCTGGCCTTGGGCAGTGTGGATAACTGGTACATAGAGCTGGTGCTGGTTTGGAGCTGGGTGAGGTCTTTGTCCAGATTGCCAGGGCCTGTAGTGACCCACTCCAGTGGCCGGGGCCCAGCGGCAGCTCCCAGGAGGGTTGGGGGCTCAGGTTTCCCGAGTCCCGGTGAACAGGGCAGACAGAAGGGGGCAACTAATGACAGTGGGCCCAAGTACTGGCCTGTGCGAATCACAGGCCAGGGTCATCGAGCACCTCTAAGTGAAAGACCCTAAAGAAGAACCCTATTCTGTCACCTAATATTAGGGAGGACACAGTCCCACAGGGTCCTTGGAGGTCCTTCAGTGACGATAGCCAGGAACAGCAGCTAAAGGATCCAGTGTCAAAGGATACTGTTAAGTCTTGTCCCACCCACAGAGACGCCTTTCCTTGAAGGAGCTGACACGGGGCCAGCCTGGCGCAGAGGGAGTTGCCAGTCCAAGAGGTAGCACAAGAGACTCTGGAAGGAAATACTGGGGTGTATGGAGGGTGTGGGAACATAATGGGAGCCTTGGAGAATTAGAGGGTTGGGGGGGGTGGCTTGACTCCGATGAGTATAAGGCAGGCAGGATCCACCTGAGCAAAACTTCAGTGACACCAAAAAACTCAGTAATTGTAAACCTGGCATGGTGGTACACACCTGTGGTCCCAGAACTTGGGAAGTAGAGGCAAAAGGATTGCCAGGAGTTTGAGGCCAGCCCAGGTGACATAGTGAGTTCAAGTTCAGCCTGAACTGCATAGAGAGACCCTGTCTCAACCTCCTCCCAAGAAAAATTCAGTAACTGTGTCCATCTGCAGACGAACTGGCCCAGGTCTGCCAAGCACCATTAGGGCCCATAGACAGGATGAAGGCGCTGATGTGAGCTGCAGCCTGGAGAATCTGGGCATCTCAGTGCTTGGGAAGAAGCCTTCACAAAAGCTTCCCTCACAAAAGGCCACAGGGTGCATGATCCTATTTCCATGAAACGTGCAGAAGAGCCAAATCCAGAGACACAAAGTAGGCTGGTGGTTGCCAGAATCCTGGGCCCCAGGGGGCAATGGGGCGTGTTGGCAGAGCTGCTTTTTGGGTGATGAAAATGTTCTGGAATTAGAAAGAAGTGATGGTTAAAAACCAAAAAAAAGGCTGGTCCGATTGCAGTGGGTTATCAGAACTTATTAACATTAGTGTCACTAAAGTTGGTATACCACCACCACCACTGCTAAATTTGACTGGCTTCAAAAAAAAAGGGCTGGGGATTTAGTTCAGCAGATAAATGCCTGCCTGGCAAGTGCAAGATTGTGAGTTGGATCCCAGACTGGAAAAAAGAAAAAAAAAATCAAAAACATGCCACTGAATTGATTGATCTGGGCATGGTGGCATGTACCTATAGTCCAGAGCTCAAGGCTGAGGCAGGAGGATTTCAGGTGGCCAGGAATTCACAACCAACCTGGACAACACAGTGAGGCCCTACCTCAAACACACACACACACACACACACACACACACACACACACACACACAAAACAAAAACCACTGAACTGAAGTCTTTAAAGTGTTTTATTGTGACTTAGGTAACATATTTTAATGCAGTATTTTAAAGAGTCAGAATCCATGTGAGAACATTAATACAAGATGAGCAATACAAGATGAACAGAATCCCACAGTTTTGAACAAAGGCATGAGTGGAAAGGCTGCCGAGTCCTCTGGAGCCCGTGGTCACTCCCGCTCAGCATCCTGTCCTGGACCTGGCATGGGCAGGAGAGGAGGACACTGTGGGTTTTCCTTTCTACATTCTACATGGGTCCCCTGGCCTGGGATGGCTCCAGCAAGTCCACTTCAGCAGACTGAGACTCAGGGGCTCAGGGAGGGGCAGGACAAGGGGCAGGAAGAGACCCGCAGGGGGATTGGGAGTGTCCCTTGGCTTCCAGACAAAGGGTTGCGCACACCGGGTGCTGGAACCACAGAAGCCAGCCCGCCACTGTCACTGAGGTAGGGCCCACCCTGTGCCAGTTCCACCTCATCTTTTTGTCTTGCAGCGTGGGGGATGAAGCCAGGGCCTTGCATGTGAGCACTCCAGCCCCAAGCTGCACCCCAGCCCAGGCCTCCCTGTTCCCCCGGTGAAGATCCCTGCTTCTGAGCACTGCACAGGCCAATTCGCAGGAATGAGGTTAGGACTTGAACATTTCCTTTGCTCCAGGAGGCAGTTTAACCAGCCACAGAGGTGCAGAGTTGAAAGACAGGGCCGAGGGGACCAGGCCAACACCTGCCTGAATTCTTCCCATAAGTGTTGTAATCCCAATTAGGTGCGTGAGCACTGCTGCCCTGAATTCAGCACGAACCATGCAGGATACCCCCGAGGGCACCACAGGGGCACTTCTGCGTGGCAGGAGCACACCAGATAGGCAGTCTCCAAACACATCCCCAGCTCCTCCTGTCCAGCTCTGAACAGCATCTCTAAGTGCCGGGGGCTCCCACTCAGCCGCAGCACTGGACCTCCTGGAAACAGGGAAACAGGCACAACAACGGGGAAACTTCACGCATGCAGTAAGGTGAAACCAAGGGTGGGCCCCCAGCCCACCCTTTCTGCTGCCACTGGCTGTGACCCCTACTGGGGGTGAGGGTGGGGTAGAGTGATGGGTGACTGGCTCTCACGCTATTCTGACCTTTGCGCAGGGGGAGAGGTACAGCTGCAGGGAGAGGGCTGTCGCCCTACCAGCAGCCCAGCTTGCCCTAAGCTCCTTAGCCTGGAGTAAGCCCTGCCCCACAGTGCAGCCCACCATAGTCATGCCCAGCAGGCAGGGAGTGGTTCTGGCAGTTGCCAAAGAGATACCACCAGTGGGCAGAGGGCAGCCCGTAAGAGTGAGTGCACAGCCCTCCTGGGTAGGCAAGCCTGCTGCCCAGTGTTTAGATCGGGCCAGGAAGCACCCACCCACCGAGAGGGCACAGCCAGGTACAGCCTGGAGGAGGCCAAGGAAGAGGCTCCTGGAGAGAGGAGCTAATTCTCATCCATTCCCATGCCCAGCTGAGTGGGGTGTCCAGCAGGAGGGGGCCTGAACGCCCTGCTGGTCAGTGCTCCAGACAGTGCCAGATGGGAGACCCCCTGCAGGCCTGCTTCACTCAGGGAGACCAGGGTTGGGGGGGGGTTCCAGGCAAGAGTGGAACTGGAGGGGCCACAGGGGACAGGCTGTTGGCCACCCCAAGTTGTGCTGGTTCAGGAAGATGGGAGCCTGTGCCGCGCCCTGTGTGCACTATGCCGCTGCCCCTCCGCCTGGCCTCAAGCCCCAGCAAGAGGCCAGGCTGCCCCCGCCTCACTCTTCCCAGGGCTTTGGCTTTATTAAAGCATTCTCAGGAACTGGGTTTCCTTTCTTCATTCTGGTACAAGGAACATAACAAAATTAGCTATCTTAACACGTGCCACCCAGTGGCATTTATACCTTCACACTGTCCAGCTGGGACACAGTTGCACACTGTCCAGTTGAGAGCATTCTCAACATCCCAGCAGGAAACCTGACCTCACTGAACACCAACCACCCCCCATCTGTGCTCTCCCTATGGCTCTGCCTATCCTGGACATTGCGTAAAAAT